AATGTTGGGCCCTAAAGCCCCACCAAGGAGGAGGTCGCCCCAAGAGACACTCACAGCACGGTTGATGCAATAGCAAGAGGAATTTTTATTCTGCCACGGCAGAGGTCCCTCAGCCTCGAGAGGAGAAGGACCCTGCTTTGTCTATTACAAGCTCTTTTAAAGGAAAAAACCACAAATTCAGGGAGGGGGTAGTACAGAATCAAAGGGAAAGTCCAAAAATCATTTGTCAACTGTTTTGACTAGTTCATACAATGGTCAGCTAACTCTACTTGATCAATGTTATGGCGGTTACAAGGAGGAACACCTGCAGGTCGTCTCACCCCAGTTCCAGGGTCCGGGTCTATTGGAGAAAGACTACAATGGGGATGGAAAGTACTCAAAGCTCCCGTGCACGCGTGGCTGGTTACTAGGGACCTGGTTCCCAGGAAGGGGGGTGCAGTAGTGCTAAGGTGTCTCAAAGTCTTTCAACATAGTGCTGGGTGCTAAAGGAAGGATGGACGGTCAAGACAGCATGGATAGAAAGAGACCTCAGGAGTGATGGTGGCGCACGCCTTTAATCCCAGCACTTGGGAGGCAGAGGCAGGCGGATCTCTGTGAGTTCGAGACCAGCCTGGTCTACAGAGCTAGTTCCAGGACAGGCTCCAAAGCCACGGAGAAACCCTGTCTCGAAAAACCAAAAAAGAAAGAAAGAGACCTCAGGGCACTCGGAATTATTTGTAGTCACCTGATGCTTTAACCCCCCCTCCCAGTGTGTGTGTGTGTGTGTGTGTGTGTGTGTGTGTGTACCCATGTGGCTGGAGAAATGGCAGAGGTTAGAATACTTGTTGCTCTTTTTCTGAACACTCACAGGTTGATCACAACAATCTCCAGTTCCAGGTAATTCAATACCTGCTTCTGACTTCTGTGGGCACCAAGCACACATGGGGTATACAGACAGATAAACATGCAAGAAACATACAACATAAAAAATGAATAAACTGGGGTCTGGAGAGATGGCTCAGAGATTAAGAGCACTGACTGTTCTTCCAAAGGTCCTGAATTCAATTCCCAGTGACCACATGGTGGCTCACGACTATCTGTAATGCGATCTGGTGCCCTCTTCTGGCCTGCAGGCATACATGCAGGCAGAACACTATATATATGATATATTTAAAAATGAATAAATCTAATAAAAATTTAAGAAACTTATTATATTGCATGTGTATGATGGGGATATACACATGTATGGAGTCAGTCATCACCTGTCTTAGGCTAGATTAAACTCAGGTCCTTAGGCTTGTACAGCAAGTATTTTTCCTGCTGAGCCATGTTCAGGGTCTAGAATAACTGGCTCACAAGTCTCTAGGGATTCTCTTCACTGGAATACTGAGCTTACAGATGAGCTTAGTAGTGGCTGGCTTTACATGACTATGAGGATCCAAGCTCAGGTTTTCATGCCTTTACAGCCAAGCATTTTACTCACTGAGCCATCTCTTAGCCTTTTTGTTTCTATAGACCAGACTGGCCTCGAACTCACAGAGATCTGCCTGCCTCTGCCTCCCAGTGCTGGAATTAAAGGCATGTGCCACCACTGCCCAGCCCCATTTGTTGTTTTAAGGCCTATAAACATATGGTGGGTCGCTATGGGCTGTATCTTCTCTCTCTCTCTCTCTCTCTCTCTCTCTCTCTCTCTCTCTCTCTCTCTCTATATATATATATATATATATATATATATATATATACACACACACACATATANAAGAGGGCACCAGACCTCATTACAGATCATTACAGATGGTTGTGAGCCACCACGTGGTTGCTGGGAATTGAACTCAGGACCTTTGGAAGAGCAGGCAATGCTCTTAACCACTGAGCCATCTCTCCAGCTCTATGGGCTGTATCTTTAGGGGTTGACATACATTATACATCCACTAGAGGATGGATGCCTAGGTCCCTATTCTGGCACTGCAAACTGTAGAACTGCCACTCCAGTGAATGCTTCCTCATCTGAAAACTGGGATAACAATGTTAGTGATGCTTTAGGATAGAAGATCTAGGAGATTCCTCACTGAGAGTCAGTATAAAGTTGCTGTTGATGTCATCACTGTTTCGCAATTCATCCTGCTTATGTGGGATCATGAGTTTACTGAATGCATGCTGGCTGCTCTATGTCTCAAAAAAAAAAAAAAAAAAACAAAAAAAAAAAAACAAAAAACAAACCCAGGTTGGCTTTGTTGTTTTTCTTTGTTTGTTTTGTTTTTTTGAGACAGGGTTTCTCTGTAGCTTTGGAGCCTGTCCTGGAACTTCCTGGCCTCAAACTCACAGAGATCCACCTGCCTCAGTCTCCTGAGTGCTGGGATTAAAGGCGTGCACCATTACTGCCAGGCTTCAGATTGGCTTTGAACTCCTGGACTCAATTGATTCTCCTACAAGGTTAGAAGGCTCAACAGGTACACTCGACTTCATTTGATGTTAAACCGTCTTGTGAGCGGGGGCAGGGAGCAGTATATTTTTAGTAACCTACTGAGTTTGGTTAGTGCTGTCTATGTGAACGTGTGTGGGTCATCCATTTGAGCGTGGACAATCTTCCAGTGGCCACACCTTCAGAGAAAAAAGGCTCTTTCCCAGAGGCTATCAGTTCCTGCAATCCCTCAGACAGGTGTGGGGCCTTGTGAGGCCCTCTCCTTCCTCGCTGGAGCTGTGACTGCTTGATCTTGTCAGGTGGCCGCAGCTGCCGGGAGCGCCTGAGCCTCTCGGCCACGTACTCAGGAGACGGCATTTCTCAGCGTTCTTCCCCGTTTGACAACTCCTACATTCTTTCCTTTCCCTCTCTCTCAACGTTCTCGAAGCCTTATTTGGAAGGGGAATGATATAGATGCCCCATTTATTTTTGTTTGTTTTTTTTGAGACAGGGCTTCTCTGTGTAGTCCTGGCTGTCCTGTAATTCACTTTGTAGACCAGGCTGGCCTCGAACTCAGAGATCCTCTACCCCACAAGTGCTGGGATTAAAGTGTGTCACTGGCCAGTTAGCCTAGCAGAATTGGCAAGCTCCGGGGGGAGAATGGGATAGAAGACACCTGGCATCCACACACAAGCACGCACACACATACACTATACACTAAGCACAAAACGTTTTTTTTTCCTTCTTTTTCCTGACAGGGTTTCTCTCTGTAGCCCTGGCTGTCGTGGAACTCGCGCTGTAGACCAGGTTGGCCTTGAACTCCCAGAGAGTCTCCTGCCCCAGCGCCTCTGCCTCCCGATTGCCTGGGATTAAAGGCGTGTGCCACCTCCGCTCGACAACAAAGTTTTTTTTAAAAAGTAAAGATTGTAAAATTTGTATTTTCACCACAATTATAAAACAACAGCATTGTCATTAATAATAACTAAGGCAGGGTGTGGCGGCTCACACCTATAATTTCAGCAGTTGGGAGGCTGAGACAGGAGGATTGCTGCAAGCTATCCTGTTGAGAGAAAAGGAAATAAGAAGAAAAGCAAGGTCACAAAGACATCCAAAAAGAAAAAAGGCACCCACCAAAATATAGGCACAAACAGTTTCCGAGGCTGTCAGTGACGGCGGCTTGTTTTCTGCTTCCAATAATAGTATAGCCCAACCGCTCTCACGGATCATTCGTGAGCTGGGACTCAAAGAAACTCAAGGAGTCCAGGCAGCGGGTTCAAGCCCAGCCTTGCTGCTGCCCCAGGCAAGCCTTGGCCAGCTGGCCGGCCAGCCTCAGTTTACCTGACCTGGAACGCGGATGACAGCTCGGCGCTCAAGACCCGGCCCCTCCCCGCCTCCACGGATTGGCTCGCTCGGTCCCCCTCTACAGGCGCGCCGGGACCCAACCCGGAAATGCAGCTCCTGGGCGGGGGCGGGGCACTCCCGGCCCGAGGCGAGTGATAGGTATACTGACCAATGGACGTGGGCAGCGGCGTCTGCGTTGCGGAAGTCCCACCCAGCGTCGCGCGGGGGCGGGGTGGCGCTGGGGGCGGCAGGCAGCGGGGCGGGCGCAGGATGAGGGCGGCCATTGCTGGGGCTCCGCCGCGGGGAGGAGGACGCTGAGGAGGCGCCGAGCAGCGCAACGCTGCGGGGGAGGCGCCCGCGCCGAAGCGGGGCTCATGGCCAGGACCACCAGCCAGCTGGTGAGCGCGCGGCGGCTGCAGGGCGCGCCGGTCCGTTACCCGGGAGCGTGGCGGTCGCCCGGGTTCTGCTAAGGCGAGGCGGGGCGGCCCGGTGCCGCGGGCCGGGCGGCGCCTCACCTGCGGCTGGGTGGCGGGCAGGACTGCTGGCGCCGTCCGAGGGTGCCTCTCGGCCGCGGCGGGGAGCGCGGGCCCCGGCTCGGGCTGGCGGCGGCAGCCGGGGGCGCTGACAGGGCGCGGAGGGCGGGGGAGGCCGGGAGGTGTCACCCAGCCGGGCGGGGTGGAAGTGCCTGGAAAGTTTGTTTTCGGCTCCGCGCAGCCTGGAGCCGAGCCTCTGGGCTTACCTTGAGGTCTGGCCTGCGGAGGAGCAGCCTCTGGCCTTTACCTGAAGGAGGGTCTTGGGAAGCAGGCGATGGGAGTTTCTGCTTGTAACACCTGATGCTGGCGGCTCCTCTCCAGACTCTGGTCAGCGGGGCATTTCGGGGCTCCTCTTGCCTGTGGTTCTGCGCTCAGTGAGGTGGGAAGCCCTGGGAGGCCGGGCCTAGAGGCCCCAGTGAGGGCAGCCTGAGTTTGACAGGGAGGAGGGGTTTTAGAGGGGAAAAAAAAAAAACAAACAAAACTAACCACTTGTTGGGTGAAATGTTTCTGTTTTCTCTGTGTTATTAAAAGTATCCGTAGTTGTAGTTTCTGTTTTAGAGTTCTGAAGCTCAAGGTGCATCAGCTCGTCCACCTTCTGTGCGATATGAGGTGGCTGATGGGATGTCAGACACCTAGCAAACTTTGGTTCAAAGGCAGATCCCCACCCCCTTGGGCTAGGGCTGTCGTTAGCGGCCACCTGCTTGCCCTGTACGTTCAGAGCTCTTGGGCTCGATCCTTCCCCCTACCTTCCTTGTGGGTGGGGTGGGGCGGGAAGGGAGTTGTAGATCTCTTTACTCAGGCGGACCCAAGAAACTCACTTGCTCCAGTATGGTCTCGGCTGCGGCTGTGGTAGTGGCTTTTAAATGTTTCTGGAGGGTCAGGAGCCCCTTTGAGATTTGAAAGTATGGGCCCCGTTTGAGAAGCGTGCACAGCTGCTCTGAATTTTGTGGCTACTGGAGGCTCTTGAGTTTTCTGCAGTTCATCTGTGGGCTTCCAAGTTATAGCCTCCCCTTGTAGAGATGGGTGATAATTAATCCAAGTTCTAAAAGGAGGAGGACCTATCCCGTTGAGAAAAATGGTGAAAGGCAAAAGGGTGTTGCAACACTTGTGTCTTTACCCTGGGGCGCTTGGGCTAGCAGGCAAAAACATGAGTCGTGGAAGTCAGAGTGACAGTGTCGTGGATGCTTATGAAGTGAACTTTTACACCATGATGCTGTTGCAGTGTATAAGGTGCATTTGATGGTGTCGGTGCAGAGGAAAAGTGTATTTTCTTCCGTGGTCTTGGTACTTCCATGATGGGCATTTGATACCTGCAGTTTCCTCATCAGGCAGCTTTTTCAGTGTTGAAAGCACTGTATAATCTAGTGAGCAGAAGAGAGTTACAGAGTAAGTGATAGACTTCTCCGTAAGAAAATGAGAACTAGGCCTTGCATCCTCGTCATCTAGAGTCCCCCCCCACTTATGAGACTATGCCTTGTTTCCCAGAGATGGCTCCCGTGATGGCTTTTCCTTGAGGACTGGAAGATTTGCATGATTAAAGTGTATTTGCATTTGAACTTTAACCTGGCATGCTGACACTGTCTCAATTAACCTTCCTCAAAGCCTTTCCCCTTTACACTTGTAAGCCAACAATATGACTTGAGGCTGTGGAAATAGGCCTAGCTCAGTCTGCCCTTAAGGTGGGCCATACTTTTTAAGTTACCGTTTATTGAGCTCTTCAAGGCAGATGTTTAGACATATACTTCATTCATATTGTGTTGTGAGATAGATAATATTTCCATTTTACAGGTAAGAAAACTAAGGTAAGAGAGGTCAAGTACATGACTCATAAGTAACAGATTGGTTTTGGGCAGAGAATCCAGTGTCTCCCTGTCTGTCATGTGAGGATCTCCCAGGGGAGGCTCTGTGGGCAGTTTAGGGAGTGAGGAAGTCCTCAGTGCCACTGGCCAGGGTGTCTTCCTGGAGCGTGAGCCTCCTAAGTATAACTATGCCATATCAGAGGAAGAGGGACATTATATTTCTTTGGGCAGATGACCACATTCTTTGAAATGTTGTGTCCTGTCAGAAAACACCTACTTAGAAGAAGCTCTGTGGTTTGCCCTTATTGAGGGCTGGTACTCTGCTGGGGTGAGGCTTGGAGACCTCCCTTTTGGAAAAAAGAGACGTGGTTTGGTTAGAGGAGACATGGGGATTGAGGAGAATTTAGGGTGCTTTAGGTTTTCCAAGGGGTGCTGCATCTGTCCGGGAAATTTAGAAAGCATGCAAAAAAGTGGCTTCAGATTTTCAAATTATCCAAAAAAAATTTTTTTAAAAGTTGGCCTGGAACTTGACCAGGATGACCTTGAACTCACAGAGATCTACCTACTTGTTTCCCTTGTGCTGGGATTAAAGGTGTGCCACAACTAGGCCTTAACACATTTCTTACCCCCATACCCACAGGGTTTCTCTGTATTCTTTGGCCAACTTGGAACTCAGAGATCCGCCAGCCTCTGCCTTCTGCCTCCCAAATGTGGGATTAAAGATGTGCACCACCACCTCCTGGCTTTTTTTTTTTTTAAGATTTATTTTTAGCTGGGCTGTGGTGACACATGCCAGGGCTACACAGAGAAACCCTGCCTCAAAAAACAAAATGGTTTTTATTTTATATGTATGGGTGCATGCCTGTCTGTACATCATGTTGTGTAGTGCCCTTGAAGGCCAAAAGAGGGCGTCAGTTCCTCTGGAACTGTAGTTATAGATGGTTCTTAGCCACCATAAATGCTGGGAACCTGACCCCTGTTCTCTGGAAGAGCAAAAAGTGCTCTTAACTGCAGTCATCTCTTCAGGCTGTGCCACATCCAGGCTGTGAGGTGCTTGTCATGGAACAGAATGCATTTTCATCTCCAGTGAAAACCCTGCAGGCAAGGCAAGGTCCCCATAAGAGATGGAATCAAGGACCTGTTTTATGTTTCCTTTTTTCTTTATATTTATTTGTTTATACATTTATATATATGTGTGTGTGTGTGTGTGAATAAATCCCGTGTGATCGTGGGTGCTCTCAAAGGTCAGGAGAGAGTCTCAGATCCCCTGGAGCTTGAGTTACAGGTGGTTATGAGCCACCTGATATAGGTGCCAGGAACCAAATTAGGGTCCCAAGGAAAAGCAAGGAGTACTCTTAACCTTTGAGCACTTTTTAAAAAATGTTTCTGACATGGATTATATGAGGAGGATATTATCTTAGTTAGCAGCTGTCTGCAGAGTTATAGGACTGATGAGAGCTCTTGACACTAGGCTGCTTTCAGAACAGTTTTGGGGGAGAGGAACAGGTGACTCCTGGGGACATGTGTCTCCTTTTTCAGCCTGTGTCCTCATCTCTACTTGAGCTGGAGTTGAGGTACTCCTAGGCAGCTGATTGACCCTGGTAGGAGTCAGCGATGGGCATGTGAAAGTGATGAGCTGGGAGTGCTGTAGGATGAGACTGAGGTGATGTGTTCAGAGAGTGGTCCTCAGAATGTGTCTTCTTTGGAGTGGACCGGGATCCTGTGTGGTTTTCAGTTCTATGAGGAGAGTAAGTCATTGCAGAGGAACACTGGTACAGAAATGACTCCCTCAGCAGGTGCAAGTGTGCCCAGGCCTGTCTGTAGGGTGACAGGTGGCAGTGGGGTATGCAGTGCAGTTGTTTTGAAGACAGGTTCAAAGGGCAAGGCAATGGGGGAGGAAGTGTTGTGTGGAAACTGTAAGTTTGGGACATGTATCAGTCAGATCTTCTCGGTCATGCATTCTTCTGTGACTGGATCACGTTGCTCACTTGTTTGGTGTGATGCCAGACCTTTTTAAAGTTACTTGAATGTTGTGAACAGGTTGTATGTTCACAGTCTCCAGCTGTTAGATCAGAGTCAGTGAGCACTTTCTTAGAGTTATAGGGATGTGTTCTCTCTGTGGTGAGAAAGGGCTGTTTGGAATTGGGATAGCTGTTGGGTGCAGCTTTGGTCCCCGACCTTTGTTTGCATTTATATACTCATAGAAAGTCTGTTTTTATTGTTAATCCAGAAAGTTTTCTTGATGTTAAAGTTGATTTTTTTTTTTACTCTGAGACATTGCAAATTGTTTTAATGTGCTAAGAACGATACTTAAAGAGCTGAAGAGATGGCTCTGCAATTAAAAACACTGGCTGTTCTTCAGAGGATCTAGGTTCAATTCCCAGCACCCACATGGCAGCTCACAACCATCTGGAATCTCAGTTCCAGGGAGTGTAAAGTCCTGTCCGACTTTCTTGGGTAGCAGGTACACAAGTGGTGCACAGACTTACATGTAGACAAAATACCCATACGCATAAAAAATGTTTTTTAATTAAAAAAAAAACAAGGCCAGTTGGTGGTGGTGGTGCCTTTAATCACAGCACTGGGGAAATAGAGGCAGGCGGATCTCTGTGAGAGTTCAAGGCCAGCCTGGTTACAGAGCGAGATCTAGGACAGGCTCCAAAGCTACAGAGAGAAAAACCCTGTCTCGAAAAACCAAACCAACCAAATAAAAACAGATAATTTGTTATGAACGATTAACTTTTAAAATATTTACAGGTCTCACTATGCAGCCCTGGCTGGCCTTGGAACTCACTGTGTAGTCAGGCTGACCTAGAACTCACAGAGATTCACTCTGGATACTGAGATCTAAAGGCACACAGTACCACACCTGACCCCCTCCCTTTTTGTTTTTTAAAGATAGAATTTCGTGTAATGAATGGGCTGGAGTCAACACAGTATATAGCTGAAGATGACCTTGAACTTCTGGTCCTCCTGTCTCCACTGGGCTTTGTGCAGACCACACTGGGAAGGATTGATTCCTTATCAAGGTGCCTGATTCAAGGTTGTGTTTTAAGTTAATAGCCAGTGCTAAAGGTTCTGTTCACTACTGAACATGAATATATGGTTTCTTTCTGCAGTTTTGTCAAGAGGCCAGTTGAAGGTGGGCAAATGGTTTTCGTGGGCCTGGTGGTTTCCCTCATTGCACAGAGAGATCATTACCCTCTGTGCCAGTTTGTGTCAACTCATTTTCTTTTTGAAGGGAGTCATAGTACAGACCTTGTTTAAAGGGCTGTCTAGATGCCAAGGATGTTCCTTTTAGAGGTGTGTGTCTTGTGTGTGCTTAGAGAAACTAAAACTGGTCTTCTCATTGCAGGAGCCCCAGGTCTCAGCAGATTTTGGTCAAAATGCACTCCATCAGAGACATAGCTTCTACAGTGAGATTGTTGTTAAAGCCCCAATTCTTCAACAGATTTTCTCTTTCGAAGCTTGAGTTTGTTGCTTTACGAAGGAATTGTAGGTCTGAGTGGCATCTGTATATTGGATACAGTCAGTAAGATTATCAGAGCAAATCTTCTCTGAAAAGTCTCGCCAAGTGCGTTCTTTGATCTGCAATAGAAAAGGAGCCAGGCAGTGGTGGCACAGGCCTTAATTCCCAGCACTTGGGAGTCAGAGGCAGGCAGAGCTCTCTGAGTTCAAGACCAGCTTGGTCTACAGAGTTCCACGATAGCCAGGACTACACAAAGAAACATTGTCTTGAAAATTTAAAAAAAAAAAAAATGTGAGAAGGCGCTTGAGCTAATTTTTAGTTTTTTTCTTAGTGTTTATGGGAGACCTAAACTGGGTGTAGGGGACAGGGCCTGCAAAGGTGGTTTTATTTTCTGGACCTTGCTGTGGAACCTTAGTCCTAGGTGCTGCACCTATGGATTGGAGGGAGGCTGTAGTTCAGGGTTGCAATCTCTTGCATGTCATCATCCATGTGGTTGCCCACTGCCGTCTTTGTGTTACTATTGCCCTTTTCTTCTGGCTTCTTCCTTTCCTGGTTAAGGAACACTTGTGACTTGCTGTTTGGGTCTCCGGGTGCCAGTGCTTGTGCCCCCTCCTCTTCTCTCCTGGATTGTCATTTTGTTTCTCCTAAGGTCTATGCCTCAGACACGTGCGCGCGTGCGTGTGTGTGTGTGTGTGTGTGTGTGTGTGTGTGTGTACACGTGCGCGCACACACATACATGCTCATGCCCAGGCAAATGTCCAGGATGTTTGTGGCTGCCATGTTTTCAGTGGCCTCTTGTCTTTTTCATGTTCTTCCTCTTTGCCTGAAGAAATTCCCCTCAGTGGAAGACCCCTCATATACATTTCCTGTGGCTGTACAATTTTGTCTGACCAGTCTGCTTCAAGGTGGCTGCCCTTTCCCCAAGCCTTGGTTCGTATTCCATGTTCCGTGCCTGGTTCTCTAAGGTAAGCTTTGTTGTACCCTTGGCTTTCTAAGCCTACAGCCTCTAGGTTGCTCTTTTCTTACTCAGTCCTCTTGGTTCTGATACCTGGGTAGGTGTCCTGTGATAACACTGGACAGTCTTGCTTCTCCAATCCCTTTCTTTCTCTCTCTCTCTTTTATGTTTTTCTGGGTTTTTGAGACCGGTTTCTCTGTCACAACCCTGACTGTTCTGGAACTAGCTCTTGTAGACCAGGCTGGCCTCGAACTCACAGAGACCCACCTGCCTCTGTCTCCTAACTGCTGGGTTTAAAGGTGTGTGCCATCACTGCCCAGCCTTTCTTAAGGCAGAATCTTGCTATGTATTTTAGGATAACCTGGAACTCTAGATTCTCTTGCCTTAACTTTCCCAGTGCTGGGATTCTGGTATGTACTACACCTTGTTTTTTTTCTTTTTTCTTCTCTCTTCTCTGTGTGTGTGTGTCTGCGCGCGTGCTCTTGAATTCAACTCCTGGTATTATTTCTCTAGAGACACCCACCCTTGCATTTTGACACAGTCTTTCACCTGGAGTTTACCAACTAGACTGACTGGCAGCAAGCCCCTGGGATCCACGTGTCTGAACTTCCTCAGGGTTGAGATAATAGGGACTCACCACCACACCCAGTTTTTTATGTGGATTCTGGGAATTGAACTCACATCCTCTGCATGACAAGCACTTTACTGATTTATTCATCTTCCTAGTCCTTCTCTTTCTCTCTCCCCCCCCTCCATTTTCTCTTTCTTCCCCGCCCTACATTCCCCTTCTTTTTTGCATGTGTGTGTGTGTATTTACATTTGTATGTGTATATGTGCCTTCCTAACTGTGGGATGGGAGGTTTGGTAGCTTTATCGTTTTGGCTAGAGTGACTGGCCAATGCTGAAATTATAGGAATGCACTACCGTGCCTGGCATTTTACTTGGTTACCAGGGATCTAACTCAGGTTCTCTCCTCTCATAACAGCACCTTACCCACCAAGCTATCTCCCAGCTCTCTACCTTATTTTCAGACAGGGTGTTTTCACTGAACCTGGAGCTCACCAGTTCAGCAAGACTGGCTGATATGGTGTCACTCACATTGTATGTGGGTTTTGTCAATCTGAATGAACTCAGTACTTTACAGCTGAGACAAATTGCTCAACACTTCCCCTCCCTGTTATTCATTCACTCACACTCATTTATTCATTTATTTTAAGCATGGTCTTGCTATGTGGCCCAAACTGTCCACAAACAGTGCCATCTGCCTGTCTCAGCCTCCCAAGTATGAAGGAATACCCTAAATTTTACTTAATATCCTTTTTGTTTTCTTAGAGTCTAACTTGCACATATTATACTTTATCTTATGCCTCCATAGGCTGGCTCTTTGGCTGTAACTGTGTCAGTTTCTCATTTGTCATTGTTTTTGAGGACCTTAGTGGTGTTTTTATTTATTTATTTATTTATTTATTGAGACGGTCTCTCTATGTAGTTCTGAATCTCCTGGAACTCACTGTGTAGACCAGGCTGGCCTTGAATTTACACAAATCTGCTTGCCTCTTGTCACCTGTGTGCACGCGCCACCACTGTATCCTATTGACCTTAGTTTTGAAGAACAATGATCAGGTACTGTTGGATGCCCACTGTTGGTATATGTGTCCTTTTTTTTTTAAATGTTTATTTATTATGTATACAATATTCTGTCTGTGTGTATGTCTGCAGGCCAGAAGAGGGCACCAGACCTCATTACAGATGGTTGTGAGCCACCATGTGGTTGCCGGGAATTGAACTCAGGCAATGCTCTTAACCACTGAGCCATTTCTCCAGCCCTGGTATATGTGTCCTTATGCTTAGACTATGGTTACGGGTCTTGAGGAGAATACATGGGAGAAGTATCATTTTCATCTACGGTGCCTGCTGTCAAAGTCATGTATCACTGTAAATGTTGACCATGATCACCTGGCTAAAAGAGTCAGCCCTTATCAGCTTTCTCCACTCTGAAATGTGCCCTGCCCCAATGTACCCCATACCTCTAGTGAATGGGGTTTCAATTTGTTATTTTTGTTTGTTAGTTGTTTTTGAGACGAGGTTTCTCTGTAGCACTAACTGTCCTGAAACTCTTCTCTGTAGACCAGACTGACCTCAAAGTCAGAGATCCACCTCCCAAGTGCTAGGATTAAAGGCGTGAGCCACCACACCTGTCTGGTTTGATTTTTTTTAATATTTATTTTTATTTCATTTGCATTCATATTTTGCCTGCATGTATGTCTATATGAGAGTGTCGGATCCCCAGCAACTGGAGTTACATGTCGGTGCAGAGAATTGAACCTGAGTCCTCTGGAAGATCAGTCAGTGCTCTTATCCGTTGAACCGTATCTCCAGCCTCGTTTGATATTTTTATACTCTGAAAACGTTTGCTAATCATAAATAACTTAATTTCAGCACAAAACTGTCGATATTGTGGTATATAACTCTAATTTCAGCATTCAGGAGGCTGATGCAAGAGAACTACTTTGCCTTTTAGGATTGCCAGACAATAACAGCAGCAACAACAAAGCAAAAGTCAACTTCAAAGTAGTATTGGAATATAGGTTCTTTATAGGTTTAGGACATTTAAATTTTTGTATGTATTTTGTATGTGTAATTGTGCATAAAGTGTGTGTTTGCGTGTGTGTGAATGAGTACATGTACATGTGTAGGAGGTTCAGAGTTAATGGGTGTCTTCTCAGTCATTCCAGCTGGTTTAGATAGGCAGCTTGTCCTGGAGTCCCTTGTCTCTGCCTTCTGAGTGCTGGGATTTCTTTCATGTTTTCTACCACATCTGCTCAGCTTTTTATGTGGGTGCTGGGGATACAAACTCTGCTTGGCTAGTGCTTTATCTACTTAGCTGTCTCCCCAAGCTGGTTAGGACATTACTGAAGACCATAAATGAAGAAAAATGGTATTTTTACTCTGTTTTCAAGTTTCACCTTTGAGAAGAGAGAGACTAGGTATTTGCATAACTAATGGAACATTTGGTTGTATTGAAATTTAAAAGTAACATGATGGCAGGGTGATACCTTCCACTTATCTGCACAGAGGGTTTGGGTTTTTGGCTCCTTGATTATGGAAGGTTTGCACTGGGTCAGTCAGCTGCATCTGAGCAGAGCTTTGGCTGTAGTGATATTAGGGTGCATGCCCTTGGTGGACAGTGCTTGACAGCCCAGCTCTGGAACTGAGAGGGAAGTATCTTCTGCTTAGAAGAACATCAGTGCCCTCATATGGCTCTCATGCTGGGTCATGTCCATATCAGTCTTTGTAGTTCCCTTCCTCAAAATAAGTGTCCTGATCCTTCCTTTATGGCCACACCGTGAAGAACTAGATCTAGAACTAAATTCTGAACCACCAGATGACATGGTCATTTTAGTATCTCTCTATCATCTTGGTTGTTTTTTTTTTTTTTTTTTTTTTTTTTTTTTGTTTTTTGTTTTTAAATCTTTTATTTTTTTTTTTTTTTTTTTTTTTTTTTTTTTTTTTTTTGTTTTTTGTTTTTCGTTTTTCCTCCCATTCATCAGAAATTATCTGACCCCTGAAAAGTGGAATTTCTAAACTTTTGTTTACTTTGTACACTAAAGTTCTAGGA